CCCAATGACAAAAAATATCTCCAAAAAAAGAAAAAGAAGAAGAAGAAAAAAAAAAAAAAACAGGCAGGGAACACCCATGGGGCTAGGGCAAGTGGGCTCCAGGACGACTCCATGCCAGAACTGCTCACCTGCCATGAGGGGAACATCTCTAGGACTGATAGGACATGGGGCTCCTTAGCCAGAGAGCACTGAGGGAAAGGGATTCTACAGAGGAGGCATGAGGAGAGAGGCCTGGTTGGGCTTACTGGATCTGCCACCACCTATCAAGGCCCTTTGCCTGCCACAAGAACACATGCGTGCACACATGAGCTGAGCTCCTCTCTCGCCATGGCTTACCCAGCCCCTGGGCCCACCAAAGAACAGAAGAGACTCGGGGACACTCAGTCTCCTAACGTGCCTCTGAGAAATGCCGGCGTGGCTGCTACCCACCTTCGTGGGGAGTGCCAATCACCCTGGCTGGGGGAGGGCTGGGATGGGGCAGTCGCTCATCACCTACCATTCACTGTCCTCACAATGTAGAGGCCCGTGGGCACGAAGTGCCGGTCGTCCCGCCCTGTGTAGCTGAGCTTGGGAGTGCCACTGGAGCCCTTGATGATCTTCATTTCCAGCCTGGTCCCCGAGGAGGTGTGGAAACAGAAGTGCCACGGTGTATGTGAGGAAGAGAACAGGTCCTAATGTCAGTTTCCAGCTAATATCAAAATCACATCACCACAGGATTATACTCTGCTTGACATAAGAAACCAAGGCAGAGACTTAAGTGAGCTGCTCCAAGGGCAGAGCTGGGTACAGAACGTGGGCTCCGAGCTCCCAACCGAGCAGTGGCGGCAGGGCCGTGCAGCTGACCTGCTGTTACTGCTGTCTGGGGAGTCCCAGGGCAGCACCACTATGGGTGAGATCTGAGACCATGGCGATGCTGGGGGCACCACGGAGTTACCAGTGCCGCCTCCAGGAGAGCACTGGGACCACTAAGACTCAGTCAGCTCCTGTGGCCACAGCCGGCGCACACCAGAGCGAGACTCAGAAATGTGAGCACCCCACACACCGCTAAGAATACAAGGAAGCATTAATGCCCCTTTCCCCCTCCGGGCTCAATCTCCGTCAGCACCAGGAGCTGGGATTTATGGTGTTTCAAGCAGCTTGCTGCTCTGCCCCTCGCAGGGACAATCGTAACTATTACAGCATCAATGAGCCCGTATTTCTGCCTGACACACACCCACCCTGCTCCCCTCCTGACAGGGTGCTGAATCAGCTCTCAGCCGGGGGGCTCTTGGCTGCAGTGGAGCCACACTGAGGCGAGCGAGGTGGGGGTGGAGGCAGCCACCAAGGCCAACTCCCCAGCCCCAACCCATCTCCACAAAAAATAGAGAATGAATCCTGAACAAGGCCGTGCCCAGCTCTGCTCCATCTCCTGTTTGGAGCTGCCCTGGTTGAGTCACTCACCTGACAAAAATCTTCTCCATCTCCTCCAGCCTGTACACCTCCTTCACCCTGTGGGAAAGGGACGAGAGAATTTTCTTGTCCAGAGGCAGCTGGTAGGCAGGAGGCTGCACCTGCCCTTGCCTTGGCCCGCCCTGCAACCACCCAGCCTGTCCTGCTGCTTTGTACACAGACAATGCCTAAAGCTGCTCCAGGTAACGGGAGCACGACGGCAGTTAATGGAAGACGGGAGGGAAAAGAGGGAGAAAGATCTGGCAGCCGAAGATGTTTCTGCCAGCATTCCTGTCCCCATCTCCTTCACCATCACCAGAGGCCAGAAAACCAAGGGCCAGGTTCCTGCCCAGGCCTGTCTACATGGATTCCAGGCCTTCCTGTGGTAGGGTTAGTTCTACACGGCCCTATCAGCCCTCACCAGCACAATGGCTCCCTTTTGATGCCCAGCTCCCACCTCGGGGGGCCTGAACGTGCCTTTGGAATTTCTCCTAGGCAAGGACCCAGAGCCTCAGCCTCCAGGTCACACGCAATGAACACGGAGTCCCTGGGAGCTGCCTTTTAGGACCTAGCAGACAGGACATTTTAAAGTACAGACAAAAATTGCTTTTAGGCTCTCACATGATACTTGTAAAGTGCATTCTCAATACTGGATTTAATTTTAGCTAAGTAAATTTCCACTAAAAGGAACAATAAAAATAATTCTGATGAAGTATATGCGGATAGCTCAGTCTCCAGCCACATGAGGCCCTGAAGAGCAGGGCCAGGCAGTGCCCTTTGGCAACAGGCTCAGACCTCAGCCTTCCCTGGGAAAGTGTGTTCCATCTGTCTTCCCCTGGCTCTGTTCTTTCTCCTTCCCCTTAGGAGCCCAGAACTTTCATGCTACCTAACATGACAACCAACCGTGGCCTTCCCCCAACCAAACTCCCTCAAACCATCCTTCCTCTTTGCACGTTCCAAACTCCTGTTCTCAGCTCTGCGACAGTGGCACACGGTGCCAAGACACTGCTGCTCCACAGGCTGGGACCATATGGGAGGCCCAGGTTCAATTCCTGCCGTGGACCTGTCATCCCAGCTACTGGGAGGCTGAGGCAGGGAGATGCTCGGAGCTGGCTTGGGCAACAAAGCCAGGCATGGTGGCCCACATGTGTGGTCCCAGCTACTCAGGAGGCTGTGACACGAAGATGGCAACAGAGCAAGACCCCGTCTTAAAACAAAAACAAAATCTTCCCCCAAACAAACTTCTATTCCCTTAGCATCCTTTTCTTTAAAAAATTATTATTATTATTATTATTATTTTAGTTTGTTATAGGACACATTTGCTTGCTGCAGAAAGAGAAAAAGTGAGAAAGCATGCCCAGGGCAATAGCCATGCTACAATCCCTTCTCTCTTTCCTCTCAGGATTTTGCACACGCATGCACACAAGCCTAGCATGTTTTTCAAGCTGAGTCTGGGACTTGAACTGTGCTACTGGCCACGTGGGGTCCAGTTACCTTCACCACCACGCCACCAGCTGGCCCCCGCAGCGCACTTTTCTTACTTGAACAAAATGGAAAGGTCAGATGATATGCTAATGCTACCAAAGGGTGAGCGGGTGGTATGTGAGGCACGTTAACACTCTCAGAAGCATGTGCATCTAAAGTGAGACCCTTCACCCCTGCGAATACCTTTGGAGATTCACCACCGGGCCAGCAGAGTGTGGATAGTCTGGGGTGAAGGAGTCGCCTACCTGGCACGTCAAGGGCAGACTTGTCTCTAACACCAACCTTGCCTGGTCCCCTCCATGGAGCCCTCCCGTCCCTTACTGGATAGGAGCAGCAGGCACTGGCCAGAAAGAAGCAATGGAGAAGGAAGATTTGGGAGGAGACAGATCATGTGCTCACCTGATGGGATTCATGTCAGGCCGACTGGGCTTGGAAACAGCTTTCACAAATTTCTCAGCAAGCTGAATTCTACAATGCAAACAGAGCCTCTCAGGCAAAGCAAAGGCGCCTCCAATGGCACCCCAGCTCCAGGGTACTTTCAGCAGGGGTAGAAGCTGAATCTTAGCAAAACTGCTCCGAGAGGTGCAGCCTTCTCCACAGACACTTTTATTCGTGCCCTCCCCTCTGGATTCTGACCTCTGATTCACTGTCTTGGTTGGTGCCTTCAGCTGCCCTCAGTGGCCTTCACGAGAATGCCACTTATCTTTATTGTACCTGCCTGCCCTGTCACCCCAAACCAGACAGCACAGCACCCCTACGTCGTGGAACCACGGTAAACGGGGCCCCGCCCCCCTGCAAGCAAAGGACCTCAGAGACCTCCCTCTTCCCACAAGGTCAACTCTTGCTCGATCTTCACACAAAAATCACCTCAATCTGAGAAGCTGTGACAGAATGTATGCTGGTGGCCTCTATGACAATCCAAGCCTGACCCTTAGCCAACTCTGGAGTGCCAGCACCGATTTCTCACCCTGCTCTTGGGACCAGCTGGTGGCTGTGAGAGGGAAACTCTCTCAGGATGTCCACGAGCAGAGGTGCCTGCCAAGCCTCAGGAAGCCGATGCCCATAGGCTACCCTGGCCTACCCGCCCTCCCTACCCGGGGGCCCAGGTCAAACCGCTGGTTAAAGTGCTGCTCCCGAACGTCACTGCCGTTCAGCACGAGGACATCGAGGATGTGGATCGCATTAATCTTCCGCTGGGCCTTCCCCTAGAAGGACAAGTTCACTGCCCGCCTGCCCACCATGGCATGGCCTCCCCTCTGCCTATGACTAGGGCAAGTCAGGGCTCTAAACACACGAAGTTTCTCTTGCTTTCCTCCCAGCTGGTTCTCAGCACCACACCAGCTCAGGGTTCTGAGCAGGGAGCATTTCAGGCTTCAGGTAATAAGCCCCCTTAAAGGTCAAACCCAGAGGTAAGGCTGCTGGCATGGTGCTCCAGCCAGGGCCTGGCCCCCCACTTTGCCAGCTGTTCCCTGACTTCTCTGGAAGTTGTTCAGACAGCTGTAACCCTTGAAACTCCTGGGAAAGAACAAATCTTTTCTTTCCCAATGGACCCCTGGTCAAATACCAGGGCCCTTGATGCACAGAGATGACAGAGGTGTCCTTTGACACACACACAGACTGTGAATCTTCCTACTGAATCAACTGCTCACGGAGAAGGAGTAATTACAAGCCCTTCCCCGGGCCCGGGCCCTGTCAAGCACCACACAAGGTAAGGCAAAGGGTGCTAGGCTCAGCAGTGCTTGGTTTCCCGGCTACAGGGCCAGCGTGTGGGCAGGACCATCTCTGACCTCCCCTTTCAGCTCATGCACAATCTCCACAGAGAGCAGGGTGTCCCGGGGCAGCTCTGTCTTCAGGTCCAGCTTGACCCAGCGGTCTGACTGGCGGCCATCCCACGTGTAGATCTGGGATTTCTACAGGCAGAGACAAAAGCCAGGTCAGGCAGGCATAGAGACTGAGGGGTAAGAGGCTCGGTTCTCAAAAGGGCTTTTAGTTGTCAGCTACAAGTGATGGGGTTGGGAAAGGTCAGAAGGAAATATCTAGGAGATTAAGTTTGCCGTGCTTGTTCTCCACTGCCTCAGTAGAAGCATAGAGAGCTTGGTAGTTGTGCTGGAAGGGGACAGGCCCAGGACTAAGTCCATGATTGTAGCCCTCAAGAATGATCCAGCTTGGTGTGTCTGGGGTGGGTTTGGTGATGAGTCCAGAGAACAGAGGAGAAGAGAAAAAGAATGTCAGAGAACACAAAAGCAGTGACTGAGGAAAAAGAGATCAAACTACACAGAAAGACAAGCGGAAATGAAAGGACAACTATCCAATTAAGACGTAGAACTTGCCAAGGCTTTCCCTCCCTTCATTTTAGGCTGCAAGGGGCTAAGGACAGGGAGCGTCTTTGTAAGACAGAGGATGGTGCAGGGTGTGGTGGTGCTGGTGGGACAGGCTGCATGAGCTCCGGCCAGATTCGTGTGTGGACCGTGCCGCTACCCTGGAAGCTCCATCTCACAAGAAAAGTGCCAGTGTCCCCTCTAGCAATGTAGAGTTGAAGAAACAAATAAACAAATTAAGGAGAGAATGGCTGACACCTGCTGAGTTCACAGGGAAGTTTCAAGAATACCTCCGCCAGGGCCAAATCCTCCAACCCTGGTGCCGAGAGGACACATACCGAGCGTGGCAGGCAGCTGTCCAGACGCCATCCTAAGCTGGCAGGGAGTCTGCTGCACACTTACCCCGAGGCTGATGAGGAACTTCTGCTCGCTGCCAGACACCATGCAGCGGTAGTCGAGCACAGGGCGGATCTTCTCCAGGGTTTTGGAGGTGAGCAGCGTGGGCTTGTAACTGAAGATGTCAATCTCAGTACCCTGCAGGCACAGGTCAGAGAAAGCACCGCTAAGTCTGGGGAGACAGGCACTCGGTCTGGGTGCCTGGTAGGTAGGGGACAGGCTGGGAGAGCAAAGGGAGAAGGAGCAGTTGCTCTCTGAGACACGCTCTCCCCACCCCTTCCCTACCTAACCATGCTCTAAATAGGATCTAGTTCCACCTGCCTGGAGTGTTCCTTTAGGGCCTATTAGGAGAGCCTGAGAAAGGAAAGAACACCGAGTCCCCGAGTACAGATCGATTTACCAGCGCTTTAAGGCAATGTCACCAGAATATAAAAGCCACCCCTTCAATAAAACTGAAGACAAGGATTCTGTAGCACTTAGTTTGAGAGTGAAGTGTTATCTTCACCCCATTCAGAAAAACGTGCACAAGCTAGTCTTTTGAGGCCATTATGAGCCTTAGCCTCTAGTCCCTGATCACCAAAAAACCTGCTGCTTAAAAACTCACGCCAGGTGCATGTGCATGCATGCCCAAGATCCCGAGAGAAGCATGGAAGAGAAAGGACTGTAGCGTGGCCACCACCCTGGGGGGTGATTTCTCGCTTTCTTTCTCTCTCTCTTTCTGGTGAGCGCACACGCACTATAGCAAAAAACCTCTAAAAACAAAACAACAACAACAAATAAACAGAGCAGGGACCAGCACGGGGCATGGTGGTTAAGGAGCTGGACACTCCCACATGGCCAACCATGGTTCGAGTCCCAAACCTAGTGGCATGCTTTCTCACTATCTCGCTCTGGTCAAATTAAAAATAAATGAATGAATAAATAAAATAAAATAAATAACTTTTTTTTTTTTTAAAAAAAAGAGCAGAACAACTCCAAAGACAGCTCACCAAAAACAAGACTGGTAACCCGGGGTAAGGCCTTCCCTGCTGTGAGTCCTCTGGCAGCTCCCTGGGCCCTCAGCCTCCCCTCCCCATGATCATCCCACACTCCAGGTCTCCTCTCCAGGAAAATGCCAGGGCGAAACAGCCAGCAGCACCCGTTGGGTGGCATGAAAGTCAAGCATGGGCACATCTCAGGATGTGAGCTGTCAGCCCGCTGTGATCTTGGACACTCCACACCCTACCCAAAGGTTCTCACAGGTGGCAGCCTCAGCCAAACCCTCGGAGCCCAAGGGTAAGACACAGAACCCCTGGAGGTCACACAACTGGGGCCTTAGTGACACCACCCACATTCAGAATTAGGTCTCCAACTTTTAATTTTCACCAGATACCAAACACACCTGGATTAGCTCGAAGAATTTAGACTTTGGGTCTGAAGAAGAAGGAGCAACACGGGCCTGGTCTGGGATCTGAAATGAGATAACAAAGAGCTTCGGTTTCCAAACGTCCTCTGACTATGGCTGCATGTGAATGTGTGTAGGAGGAGACAGGTTCAGATGGGGCAGGAGGAAGCGGCACATAACAAAGGAGGCTGGGATGTAGGCGGCGAGTCCGTCACTGGTCCCGCTCAGACACTGCGGTAGCGCGACACAAGGCCACGTCCCATCCTCTGGGGCTCTCTGCGGTCAGGGCTGGATACACAGCCCTCGGCAGAATGATGCCTGTCACCGACTGCCCTTGTCCGTTCTGACTCAGGGCCAAGCTGGCAGGCAAAGGGCCAAGGAGCTGACTCTGGACAACGCTGAGTCGTCCAGCTGTGGGCGCTTGACAGTAGCAAGTACTTTCAAGCAGAGGGGAGGGGACCCCACGGTGACAGGGTTGGGTGTCAATCCCATTGTTCTCTACACTTCCCTGCTCTGGCACAACAGGCTGGGGGAGACACTCACCCCCCAGAGTCGGAGGGACTCTTTCCGGGGCCTCTGCCTGCCGAGGCTCACTCAGGGTCCTGGAAAAACGAAGCCGGTAAATGACTGAAACCTCTAAGAGACACAGGAATATGCCCTCTGAACCCCACAAGGTGGAAATGGGCGTGGGTAAGTCCCAAGGTGCTTACAGCACCCACGTGGCTCTCCCCACTGAAGACGGGCACTCAGATGAAGGGCATTACCTCCCCTCCCCACCATAACAGGAGGAAAGAGACCCATGACCCATGACCATCTGGACGCCAGGGTGCCTCACTCCCCTTTCACCACCCATCTGCACCTCGTGCCCCTACCCTGCTGTCAGTTACATTAAGCCTGCCCCACAGATGTCGTTGTGCCACACAGAGCTGCACGTGCTCTGCCAGTCCCTACCGGGGAATTCCCTGACCAGTCCTGCCCCTCCCCCCCGGATGGCCCTGTACGCTGTGTCCCCTTTGTGCTCTGTGATATGACACACTACTCCCTCTGAAGCACTTTAGTAACTGTCCCCTAACCTTTCCCTGGGTTAGTTACTCTTATCTGTCCGAGCACAATACAAAGTCTCGAGGGCAAGGTTCATACCACATGCTTCCCTTACCTCCTTCAGAGACCACCTTGGAGATAAGACAGCAGGTGTTTTCTAATGTTTGTTAAAATAAACAAAGAGCTTGAGGGGAGGAGCAAAGATCTCCCCCTGAAGTGGGTGAACTGAGAAAGGAGGGCAACACTCACGTGTCTTGAACAAAGGCATGGATTTTGGCCAGAGCTTTGATCTGCAGACTACAGTGGCTAGGAGAAAAAACAAGTGACTTCATCTCAGGAGGATTACCAAAAACAGCGGCCAAGTGACATCAGGTGGGAGAAGTTTAGCTGCAGCAGAGGCCACCTGTTATTAGGAAAGGCACTGCGGAGCTGGAGAACTGCCCCCTCAAGAGTGGTCACACGGGCTTGCTGAGGCTGAGGGCAGAGCACAAGGATGCAGCCAACCTTCCTGACACTCAGATCCCAACCAACCCTGGTAAAAGGCAGGTTCTGAGGCTACTCTGAAGTCAGCTGAAAGGAGTAGTGAACTGATTCTGAGGAGAGCAACAACAAAGCCCAGACCCCATGCAACTGCAGAGCACCGACTCACCTCACAGACAGTAACAGCACCCTCTCTGCTTTGCTCCCCACTATTCTACACACGATGTCTGGAGTTACTGAAACAGTCTGAGGCATGTGATGAAACAAGAAAGTTGACCCACTGATAGAGGCAAACGGGCGAATGGAATGAGACCTACATATAGCCCAAATGTTGGGTTCGCAAAAAGGGTCTTTAAAATAACTGATAAATATGTTAGAAGATCTTGTGGAAAAGGTAGACAACATGCATAAAAAGATTGAGAATTTCAGCAACGATATAAAAAAAAAATATATATATATATATTCTTTTTGGAGAGGTTTTTGCTATAGGGCACGTGCGCTCACCAAAAAGACAGAGAGAAGACAGAAAGAAAGTGAAAAATCACCTCCCCCAGGAGGGATGACCACTCCGCAATCCCTTCTCCTCCATTCTCCTCTCAGGATCTTGGGCACACACGCACAGAGCCATTATGCCAAATGCTGGTCCCATATAAAAACCATTTTAAAAAGGCAAATAAAAGTTATAAACATCGGGAACCAGTAGTTAGCGTAATGGCTATGTCGCTGGATTCCCACGTAGTCGACCGCGGTTCGCGTCCCGGACCCGGTGGCTTAGAACTCACGCCAGGCGCATGTGCGTGCGTGCCCAAGATCCTGAGAGGAGAATGGAGGAGAAGGGATTGCGGCGTGACCATCCCCCCTGGGGGGTGATTTCTCGCTTTCTGTCTCTGTCTCTCTCTCTGTCGGTCTGGCGAGCGCATGCGCCCTACAGCAAAAACCTCTCCAAAAAAAAAAAAAAAAGTTATAAACATCAAAATATTATATTAGAGAGAAATGATTTATCAGCAGATTGACTATAACAGAAGAAAGAATCAGTGAACCTGAGTACAGGCCAACAGAAACTCAAACTGAACCATAAAAAGGAAAAAAAAATAAAAGAAAAAAAAATAAAGAAAAACCATCAAAGGTCTATAGAATAATAACAAGCTGTTTAATATAAATATAGAGTCCCTAGAAACATAGAAAAAAAAAAACAGAATAAAAAATATTGGCAAGATAATGGTGAAGAAATTCCCCAAGCTGACAAATGAAATCAATCCACAGATCCAAAGTCAGTGAACACCAAGCAGAATAAATATAAAACAACAACAACAACACACATGTAAATATATCGGGAACCAGCAGTTAGCGTAATGGCTATGTCGCTGGACTCCCACGTAGTCAACCGCGGGTCACGTCCCCGACCCGGAGGGTTAAAACTCACGCCGGGCGCGTGTGCGTGCGTGTCTGTCCAAGAGCCCGAGAGGAGACTGGAGGAGAAGGGATTGTGGCATGACCATCCCCCCTGGGGGGTGATTTCTCGCTTTCTGTCTCTATGTCTCTCTGTCTGTCTGGCGAGCGCACACGCCCTATAGCGACAACCTCTCAAAAAAAAAAAAAAACATGTAAATATATCAAGGTTACTGACAATAAAAGATAGAGAAAATTTTGAAAGCAGCCAGAGGAAAAAAGATACACGGTATATACAGGGAAAGAAGGATGAGACAATGGCTGGCCTCTCATCAGATCAGAGGCAGAGAACCATGGTCAGATCTCAGGTCGGCCTAAAAAGCACACAGGGGATGGAGAGGGGAACCCAGGTTCCTAAGGAGCTAGAGAGCTGGGGGAAGGGATCAGGGAGTGACAAGACACTATCAAGAGTTCTTTCTCGGGACCAGCAGTTACTGTAACGGCTATGTCACTGGACTCCCATGTAGTCGACTGCAGTTAGAGTCCCGGATCTGATGGATTAAACTCACGCCAGGGACGTGTACGTGCGTGCCCAAGATCCTGAGAGGTGAGTTCTTGCTTTCTGTCTCTCTGTCTCTCTCTTTCTGGCGAGCGCACGTGCTCTCCAAAATTTCTTTTTAAAAAAAGAGTTCCTTTTCTCAGAGTATCTCTCACATGAACAGGGATGCACTTTCTATCTTAAAAAAAAAAAGGAACTGTAACAGTAACAGAGGTTACTGGGCTAGGGGAAGGGAGAAATAGGGAGTTACTGTTTAATGTGGTAGTATTTACCACAGTAAAAGAATAAGAACTCAAAAAAAAATTTTTAAACATCTGTTTATCAAAAGACACCATCAAGAAAATGAATATAGGGCTGGACAGTGGCAGAGCAGTGAGACACGATGCCCTGGAGCCTGACCCATGTGGGAAGGTTCCAGGTTCATGTCCAGAGACCTCCCTGAGCATACCAGGTACGCATATGCCCAAAATGCAGGGCTCGCTGGGGCTGGGGGTGGATCATAGTGTCAGTATTCTGTTGGGGATGTATTGTCTGTTTCTCTCACTCATGGAAAAAAAAATACATAAATGAAGTTAAGAATAGGCAAGGGAGCCAGCAGTTGGCGTAATGGCTATGTCGCTGGACTCCCATGTCCCATGGACTCCGCGGTTTGAGTCCCGGATCCAGTGGCTTAAACTCACACCGGGTGCATGCGTGCGTGCCCAAGATCCCAAGAGGAGAATGGAGGAGAAGGGTTATCCCCCGGGGGGTGATTTCTCGCTTTCTGTCTCTCTGTCTCTCTCTGTCTTTCTGGCAAGCACACACGCCCTATAGCAAAAACCTCAAAAAAAGATTAGGCAAGAAAAAAATGGGTTAAAATATTCATGACATACATATTTGATAAGAACCTATATCCAGAATGTACAGATAATTCCTACAACTTAGTAAAAAGACAAATCGATTTTTTAAAATGCTCTGAAGACTTGATGAGACACTTCAGAAAAGAAGATACATAAATAGCTGATAAGCACAGAAAAAAGTGTTCAACACCATCGTCACAGAAACATAAATTAAAGCCACAATGACGTAAGACTATACCATACTAGAGAGGCTACGACGGAAAGGACTATCAATGCCGAATACTGACAAGGACGTAAGGCAATGAGAACTCAAACCTCACTGGAGGGAGGGTAAATGGTACAACTACTTTAGGAAATAGAATGGCTTTTTTCCTTCTTTAATTAGAGAACGAGAGAGCACAGAAGGGAGAGAAGGAAGACAGGGGAGGACTTCTGACAGGGTCTCGTCCTCCTCCGCTCCTTCTGCACCAGCTTCCCGGTTTGCTAGGACCACAACCTACTTAGGTGGAGCTGGAAACTGAGCCAGAGCCTCTCGGGCAGCCTCAGTCACTGCTCAGCACTGCCTTCCCACTTGTGTCACAGTGGCTGAGCCTGTTTGGCATTTTTAAAAAAACATACATCTACCCTATGACCTAAAGTTTCTAATCTTAGCTATTTAGCCAAGATAAATGAAAACATCTGTCTACCAAGACCCTTGTTTGAGAATGTTTGCAGCAGCTCTATTCATTACAGCCTGATACTGGAAATATCTCAAAGGACCATCAACATGATAGGTAAATTACAATGCATCTATACACTAGAATACTATTCAGTTGGGGCCAGCAGGTGGTGCTAGACTCCCACACAGCCAACTGTAGTTCAAGTCCTGGACCTAGTGGCCCAAAAATCACAACAAACACACACACACATTAAAAACAAAACAAAACACTATTTGGCAATACAAAGGAACTAATACCAACATGAAAAAATCTCAAAAACATTACAGTGGGGCTGGACCCATAGCATAGCAGAGCTGTCTCACATGAGAAGGTTCTGGGCTCACATTTGGACACCTCCCTGAACACACCAGGCACATGTGCACCTGATCCAAGGCTGAGGGTAAATCAGTATGAGGGTCTGGTTGGGGATGTCAGTCTGTCTCTCTCTTTCTCATGGAAGAAAGAAAAGAAAAGAAAGAACAGAACAGAAAAGAAAGGAACCTTTTTAAAAAATCAAGGGTGGAGGGGACCAGCAGGTGGTGTGGTGGTTAAGGTGCTGGACACTCCCACAAGGCCGACCACAGTTCGAGTCCCAGACCTGGTGGCTTCCTTTCTCACTTTCCCTCTCTCTCTTTCCTCCTTTGTGTCTCTCTCTGGTCAAATTAAAATAAATGAGTGAATAAATAAAATTAAATAAATAAGTATAAAAAAGTACTGTTCTTTATAAAAAAAAAATTATTTCTTAAAAAAAAAAATCAGGGCCGGCAAGTGGCACGGTGGTTAAAGGCGCTGGACCGACCACAGTTCAAGTCTCGGACCTGGTAGCTTGCTTTCTCGCTTCCTCTCTCTGTCTCTCTCTGTCTCTCTCTGATCAAACTGGAAAATAATAATGATAATAATAATAAATAAAGTTAGAATAAAATAATTCTTAAAAAAAAAAATCAAGGGTGGAGACAGCAGGTGGTATGGGGATTAAGGCACTGGACTTCCACAGAGCTGACAGTGGTTCAAGTCCTGACCCAGTGGCTTGATAATCACGCCAGCAACAAGAGTGTGTGTGCCCAAAATCCCTGAGAAGGCTGTAGGAAAAGGGATTACAGTGTGGCCGTCCCCCCAGGAGGTGGTTTCTCACTTTCCCTCTCTGGTTAGTGCATGCACCCTATGACAAAAAACCTAAAAAAAAGGGGGGGGAGTGGTGGGGGCTTGCTCCATGGTGCAGCAGTAATACACTGCTTAAGAAATGTATGCTTGGGGCCGGCAGGTGGTATAGGGGGTAAGGGACTGG